ATATATATATATATATATATATATATATATAAAATAATGTATTATACTACAGTAGAAGAAGAAGTGACGTCAGCGGCTCCCTCAGGGACTTATTCCTGTGAACGCGATCTACTAGATAGTTCCAGGAAATAAAAGTTCCGGGGAAAAGTACTTAATGGTGGACTATCGGACTTTCAAAATGCAGCATATTTTCTCCCCAATTGTCCGTCTTGTCTGTCAAAATGCATCCCTGTCATTGGTTGAATTAGTTGGGATTCTGGGAATCTGTACACGTCACTCTATTACAGAAGTCAAGTGTTAAGAGAGTGAAATGTTGCTTTATGAATTTCAACACTTGATACTGTCACCTTGATTTACATTTCAGATACCTGTATTCAACTGAATTAGTTTAAGGAGAGGAAACATTTTCACTAAGATGTAATGATTTTTCATAGTCTAAAACTGGACTGAAACGTTTTGAGTTGTCGTCGACTAAAACTAGCATAAAAAGGACTAAAATGTCTACAACTAATAACCATTTTCTTCTTAAGACTAAATCTAAAATAGCTGCCAAAATGAACACTGGGATAATATGCAGTACTTTTAATATGCAGTACAGATGTTGTTGTTAAAATGTCTAATTTTGATAAACTGTCCCCAGGTGACCAAAACAGCTCTTCAGAAGAACCTGAACTTTGAACATGTGTGTAAAAACCCAAAGTCTGATATATCTGATCGGGCCACGGCGCGCATCGCTACTCATCCTCAGTTCAAGAAGAAGATCGAGACCATCAAAGCTGCTGTGAAGGCCTTCAAAGAAGAGCGGATGAAGGGAGGAAAGCAGGGAATTAAAGAAAAGCCGCAAAATAAATCTCTCAAGGTGACGCCTCAGACACCGGAGAAAAAGGTAGAGCACAAGAGAGAGAAAGTAGAGGAGGATATTGAAGTGAAGCGACAGGAAATCATGGAGGATAAGAAAGTGGAGGATATCGTTAAAAACACTGAAAACGTAGCTGCTGTCGAGCCTGAAAAGGGAAGCGTGAAAGCATCTCCTTCAGCTGATACGGCTGATGTGGAAATAAAGGAAATGCCCGAGTCTCAGATTGAAAAGGGAAGCGTGAAAGCATCTCCTTCAGCTGATACGGCTGATGTGGAAATCAAAGAAATGCCCGAGTCTCAGATTGAAAAACCAGCCGCAATAAAAGTAAGTGAAGAAAAGGACAATGTGAAAAACACACCTAAAAGTAACGTCGTGGAGAAGAAACCGGAGACAAAGCCGGCACCTGATTCGCTCCAGGAAACGAAGAAGATGGAGGAGGTGGAGAGCGATTTAGAGATATCAGACGATGAGGAGAAAGAGTACTTTGACGACAGCACGGAGGAACGATTCCACAAACAATCCTCTCACTCGGAGGAAAGCGATGACGACGATGGCGGCTTCTTCGTCGGGAAAGTGAGCAAATGCAAGAGGAAGAGAAAGCAGAAGAGTGGAGATGGGGAGAAGTCACATAAACAAAGTGAGGTGACGAGTTCAGACCCCGTTCAAAATGAGCTGGATGAGCTGGAGACCAGGCTGAAGTCCAAGAAGAACTCGTTTCAGTCCGTTTTCTGTCCTTCCCTTTCTTCGTCTGGAGGAGGGAGAGGGGGAGGGAGAGGGAGAGGGAGAGGGGGGGATAGATTTATGAGTCGAGGGAATCCAAGAGGTGATGGTGGTCCAAATAGAGCTTTCAGACGAGAGTCCAAGTTCCAAAATCAAGAGGAGGACGGAGGAGAAAGAAATTCAGGCTCCAAACACAGTAAGCCGTCAGAGGGGGGGTTCAGAGGGAGAGGTCGAGGGAGAGGAGACTTTACGAGGCAAAGTGACCGGAGAGGGAGAGGTGGATTCTCCCAGCAGCCACCAGAGGAGGCGTTGCATCCATCTTGGGAGGCGAGTAGGAGAAGGAAGGAGCAACAAGGACAGATCCTGGCCTTCCAGGGCAAGAAGATCAAGTTTGACGATTAGTTGATGGAACATTTTGTTGTTTTAACGCTGAATACTTTTTGGTTTAGCGTCTTTCGTGCGTTATTCGGGATATCTGGTTCAGTGACAAATGTGTTGTGCCGTGAATGTAATCATTTCCTAAACGGTAATAGAATGTGCACTGAACGTGATTGATATAATAAAACATAACAACGTCAACAGTTGTAATAAAATGTCCTGACTGACATTGTTATAACATGTACTAATACATTTATGTAATCGTTTTGATGGATGATGTAAAAGATGGATGCTTTGTTTTCTTAGGAGATGTGAAGCATGAAAGTAAACAACATGTATAACACTGTTATGCAGGGCCTCCCTCCCTACAGGCCGATCATGCAGACTGCGTGGGGCCTCACCTTGCGGAGGGGGCCTCACCTCGCGGAGGGGGCCTCATCTCGCGGAGGGGGCCTCATCTCGCGGAGGGAGCCTCACCTCGCGAAGGGGGCCTCACCTCGCGGAGGGAGCCTCACCTCGCGGAGGGGGCCTCATCTCGCGGAGGGGGCCTCAACTGAGCCGAAAATGCGGCGCAATCAGTGTGGCGCGGCACGGTTTCGCCGCTGCGAGGCTCCACTAGTACCCCCCCCCAACTTTGCGTGGGGCCTCATGTTGGCCAGGGACGGCCCTGACGTGTCTTGTACATTTTATTTTTTACATTATTGGCACAATTTCCACCTCAATATCAGTCAGGACATTTGAGTAAGTTATGTTATTATATGTTTTTATTCCACTTTCAATCAGGTTAAGTGCATATTACATTTATAGGCTTTTAAACGGCTTTTTCCATCCTCAAAAGACAACAAACCTGGAGGTTATTTAAAAAAAACATACAGGTGAAAGTATTTTTATTCCTAAAGAGGATTTGATTCTTAACTGTGAAATGCTTTACCATATATTAGATGTAATAGTCAACAGTTTGAAGAACAATTAATGTGTAAGAATACTTAAGTTAGAAATGTAATGGTAGGGCTTTTGGAAATATTGTTGTTCTTTCTTGTAATTGTTTCTTTAGTTTATAAACCGGTTAGCCATTTGCTTTGCTCCAGGTTTTGCATAATAAACATTTGAAGAAATTGATGTATGGTTATAAAAACATGATTATGTTTTGTATAAAAATCTTAAAGCGAAATGTGTTTCCTTGTTTTTCTGTACTTGTCCCTTAATATTTGATTAATAATCAATATAAAATGTATAGGTAGGCACTGGTTTGATATACTCTATTGTCTATCTAGTCCCTGAAAGCTACATTAAATAATTACATTCATAAATCTAATTTCTATCGTGAAAACAGACAAACGTTATATATAACGTGACGCGTCCTAAAACCCGGAAGTAAGCTGCGCATGGGTACCTTATGTTCTAATCATAAATCTATCGATCATAAATCGAATCGATAGATTTATGATTTGAAAATTATAAAAGTAAGGTAGACATGTGGATATTATCCGGCTGGACAAAACGTGATCCGTCTCTTAAATCCATCTCTGATCGATATGGAAAGGTAAATAAAGGAAGTATTGACTGGTTTCTAAATATGATTGAGTTTGTAAGTTAAAGTGTCTCTGATGGATATGACTAAAGTATTTTAAAGTATTTAGAACGTCACAGTCCGCTGTACACAAAACCTCCCTGTCCCTAAATAATAGCAACATTAACAGAATCACAAACATTATGTTTTTAAACCAATTCAAGAGACATGTTAGAAATAAAGAAACATACTGATTAATTTAGAAAAATGGAAAACAATATCACTCGCTTCTACCTGGCCGGATCCAAACATAAACAAGCTGAATGTTTACACTGATACATGCAAGGGTGTAACTTTGGTTTGAGAA